GCCATATCCAGAATGAATACTTAAACTCTGATGGTTTTATTTCTCTCTTAGGAAAAGAATGTGGTGGAGTCTTCACAGATTCAAAACATGTTTTTAAGTCACCCGGCTACCCAAATGAGTATGAAAATGATCAAATTTGCTATTGGCATATTAGAGTGAAGTATGGACAACGTATTCATCTACAGTTTCTAGAGTTTGATGTTGAAGATGACATCGCTTGCATGGCTGATTTCTTGGAAATCTATGATAGCTACGATGATATCAATGGCTTTGTGGGCAGGTAAAGCAATTCCAGCTTTAATATGCAAATAACCAAATGATTTCATTTTTTCCCCAGAACATTACTTTGGAAGAACACTGTATTACTTTATCCCATTAGCACCTCTGATGTGCCCATAATATTTGTAGCGATTGTACCTGACTCCTCTTTCCTGGCAATTCACTGTCATTAACACAGGCCTGTAAAGAGTTTCAGAGAATTGCACTTTGCCCTTTTCTGCTTTGTTAAATCGCATGAAAGAAAGCTGCAAGAGTTTTCAGTTAGCTCCTTGTGTTAATTCTCTATTATTTTACAGGAAGGACTCCTAGCAATCTCAAAGAGTAGTCTGTATTTGCTTTAATTGAAAGGAGGGAGGTGGGATGTTAAACTGTTAGCAGAAAGATATTTCATTTAAGTTACTATTCGCTACAGAAGTATTTTCTAACAATATCAGAACAGAACAAGTTTATGTATCATCTCTCTTACTAGATTTAGTTTCCCTCTTTGCTTAATTCACACTTTCTTTTCTTTGATATTTTTGCATGTCCTTTAGCAGTCATATTTTGGTATGAAGTACCTCAATTTTCCAGAACAAAAAATAAAACAGAAAAGGTGATAAAAACACTTCCCAATCCCTTCCACTTTTCACATCCTCTCTATAAAGATGTGTAGCAAATCAAAGATATAATCCATTTGTTTTGCCTTTACAGATAATTCTAAATGTTTTTCGTGACAATGTTCTTCCTTTCTTAGCCTTAGGCCATTGTTTTTTTCCTTACCACCTTGTTAAATTGCTCTTTTTCTTCTTTTGCATAATTTGCTTCCTGCTTATATTGAAAATTATTTCCAGCATTTTTGTCTCCCCTAAACCTTCCTATAAGATAATGACAAGAATCCTTTACACAATTGCTTTAATGTGTAGCAGAGAATTACATACACTGAATGCCTACAACCAATTTAGCCCCACGAGCCACAGCTCCAAAGGAGATTACGGCCTGAGAGCCACCGTTCAGTGTGGGCCCCCATAGAGCGGGGGGCTGGAATATCTGCTGTGTTGTTTAGTCATGACCATTTATATTTTTTTCCAGGTTTTGTGGAGATGAGTTGCCAGATGATATCATTAGCACAGGTAATATATTTGCACTCTCTATGGTAATAAAAATCAGCCAGAATCACCTTTTGTCCCTGCTTTCTAATAATGTATGGTAAAGATCCCCAAACACACAGTCTCTGCTTCATGGCCAGCACGTCATAAACCGCTATTCAAAACTGCCAGCATGCTCTTCTATCAGTGCAATTACTTCTAAATAAATGTAAAAGTAAAAAAGTCTAGTTAGAAGATAACCAGGGTGCATCCTGCTGGCCTTACAGAGGTAGTACACCTACACACGTTAAGGAGCTTTCAGAGAGGCATCTTCATGCTGCAGATCTGTAACCAGTAACGGAGCCCTACCTGTGCACACAATCTTCATGCACCCATTTTTCCCATTTCAAGAGCAAGAATTGCGAGAACACTTCCAAAGCTGGTTACAGGCATTGTTCTGCGTGCATAAAAAGCAGGTCAAGGTCTGATGACATGCAAACCCAGGCTGCTTTTACCTCTCTTTGCTCAAGCATCACAAAGTCGCCGTAGCACAGCTGTCGCATGGGCTATCCGTGCAAGGAAGCGGCCACGTTCCCTGGGACACTCTGTGCAGAAACGCACGCAACCACGCTCCAGCCCTGTAATCAGCAGAAAGAGAGCAGAAAAGCTGAGTTGTGCCATCCCCGATCTCCCAGTTTACACGGGCCTGGTGGAGATGGGCAGAGGACACTCACAGGAGAGTGAATTAGCAGCCTCACCCCTGTGTCACCCAGAGATCCGTGAAGTTCTAGGCCAGATGGGTTTCACACGTGAAGCGTGACATTTCACGGGCAGAGTGAAGCAGAGCAGCATTTTAAAGAACAGAAAATGCTTTGCAGAAAGCACAGGGTACGGCAAAACTACCAACCTCAGGACTCTGCAGACAAAGGAGACGGATGAAAATCTGACTGGTTTTCCATGGGGCTAATGGAACTCTCACCCTCCAGGGCCACAGTGCGGGAGCAGACAGGCCAGGTGGATTGCTCGAAAGATCTCAGAAGCGAGCAAGAAAGAGCACTTTAAAAATAACTCTGAAAGGTCCCATTTTTATGCCACCCAAAGCCGTAACTTCTGTTTTTCTTTTTCTTGTCCCAGGCAATGTTATGACCTTGAAGTTTTTGACAGACGCCTCAGTGACTGCTGGTGGTTTTCAGATTAGATATATTACTATGGACATGCCTTCAAAGTCAAGTGATGGAAAGAATACAACATCTCAAGGAAAAACAAACTTCTTATCTGGAAAATTTGGTATTATGTGAGCAGAGTAATGAGATACACTCATTAAGAAACATGTTTTAGAAACCAATTCAGATCTGTTTCTTCAGATAAGACATTTTCTTTGTATTTTCTGACTTTTTATTTTCTGCTTTTGTATAAGTTTTGTTATTAAAGTATACTAGGAAATAAATTATAAAATATACTTACATGAATAATAGAAGACTATTTTTAGACTACAAGTACTGTAAAAACCTGAAGAATTCATTGTTACCAAAGATTTTTAAAATATTTTTCTATATAAACTGCTCCTTCTCCTCATTTCTTGCACTGTTTGAACAAACTTTTTGTGTGACTGTTTCAATTATTTTTAAATTTAATATGCTGTTCTCTCCTTATTTTCCTTGATTTCCACATATTTATTTTTTAGATTGTTGCTTTGTTTCTTCCCGTTCTTTACGCATTATCTTTTTTTTAATTAACTCATTTCCCTGAACTCAAAAGGCCTTTAAAGTAAACTTATTTTTAAGATACATAAATTAATCTTGTGATGAATTAATTCATTACATCATTCCTGTAATTGTCTGAAGTCAGAAGATTGGGAAGCAGTATGAACAGCAGAGAATCAATAATATTATCATTGTGATTTCATTGTGAGATGAATCAGAAACTACTCAATGAATTTTGTCAGCGTTTCCTCATCCAGAGAAGAGATGTTCAAGTCCTTTCACTTCTCTGATTTCACCTGGTAAAAAGACAAATGAAAGACTTGGTACTGATAATAAAAGTGATGAGATGAAGCATCAGGGGAAATTGCTGAGTACCAGCAAAACCGTTCAGATAATACTGTCGAGATGCTGTATGTTGTTTACACGGGTTTTAAGAAGACTGTACTATTTTGAATTGATGAACATAACTCATTCTCCATGTTTTTAACTTGTTTAAATTCCTCAGTCTGAAGCAGTATTAAAGCTACCTCTGTTTGAATCATGTCAAGTTTCCAATGAATTATTTTTATTGATGGAGAACTTTTCAGACTTTGAAATATTTTTCTTGATTTAAAGCCGTAAATAAGTTTCAAGAGTTTCTTTCACTCTGAATGTTTTCTTGACCCCAGATCTGCTGAAGTCTAGTGCCCACCGACCATCTTCCTACGAATTATTTTTTTGTTTGGGGCACTGTGAGTTCCTGAGAAAGACTTTTACACAAGAGGTGGAGGATCTTAAGCTAATCAGACCTATCTTTTCTTTATTTAGGCTAAGTCTCCATTCTTTAAATTTATTTCATCTTTGAGCTTTTATTGTAATTTCACTGGGAATATAATCCTTTCTGGCTTTCACTGGGAATATAATGCTTTCTGGCTGCACTGGAGAACAGTGTTGCAGCAAGCACCACAATTTCTCTCCCTGTCATTTCCAACATTTTATTCATGTTTCGTGAGACTGCCAGGAAATAAGTTCATATGACTACACTTAACCGGACCAAACTGTGCCTAAAATCTACTGGTGCTTTTTAATCCTGCCACCTGGTGGGATGGATAACTGTTCATAAAAATGTCATTCTCCTGTTATAAAATGTCATTCCAGTTCTCCATGATCAGCAAAAGTGTTTGTTAATAAGGAAAATGCATGAAGAGAACTGGTAATGGTTTGTTTATGACCTAGCATGGGGTTTTGTTGTTTTGTTTTGTTTTGGTTTTTTTAATGTTTAGTTGAGAAGCAACAGATCTTGAACTGATATGGGTGAAAACCAAGGGGGGTGCAGGAAATATCTCCCTGTCTGGAAAAACATCGGGGACCCCCCCGTTAAAAACAAAACAAAACAAAACAAAACAAAACAAAACAAAACAAAACAAACAAACAAACAAACAAACAAACAAACAAAAAAACAAAACCAAAACCAAAACAAAACAAAAACCAACATCTGGAAAGAGCTGTGGGGCTACACACTGCACAGGACAGCCTCACATATTCGGGTCTTAAGGCATTCGAGGTTTATTCAGGAGGGTTTCTGTGGAGCTGGAGCTCAACTGCAACGGCCGAGCAGCTGCGTGGGGGGTTGTCTAAAGTCTAGAGATTCTTTTCTAGTCAGAAATAAATGATTTATAGGCTGAAGGGGCCCTGCAGCAGGACGGCAGGCGAACAGCCCCGGGCCCGCCGCCGTCTGAGGGGACAGCGCCCCCAGCAAGTCCCGCCCCGCGGCAGCCGCCTCCACCAATGGGCGGCGAGGGGGGCGGTGCCCTCAAGGCGCGGGAAGCGATCCATCGCTCCGCGCACCGTCGCGCTTCGGGAGAGCCGCGTGACGCCGTTCGATGCGCTCCGGGCTCGGCCGCCGGCTCCGCCTCGCCGCTTTCCCATTGGCTGGGGCCGGCGCAAGCCCGGGCCCGCGCGCCGCCAGTCCCGCCCGCCGCCATCTTAGTCCTGAGGAGGCGGAGAGGGGCCGGTGGCACCGGGCGGCCCGTTCTCCCGCGTAAGGACGGGTCGGCTCCTCGACCCGTAGCACCATGAGCGCTCCCGCCGCCTGCGCCAGCCTGCAGCCCCTGCTAGAAACTCTAGAGGACGCAGCCGCCCCTCCGGGGGAGCTCACCGACGCGCACCTCACCATCGTCAAGTGAGTGCGGGCCGCGGCCGCCCCCTCAGCGTGAGGGGACGGCGGCCGCCTCTGCGGCTCCCCGCCGGAGTGGGGTGAGGGAGGCGGGGTGCGGGGGAGCCCCGGGGGAGCCCCGGGAAGCCGCGGAGGGTCGCTTCTGCTTGGCCCGGGGCGCGGGGGCTGCGCGGCCGCCGGCTGGAGACCGCGGGAAAACGTGCGGGCCTGGAGAGGTGGATGAGGCGGGGGAGAGGGAGCCTGTTTGATGTCTGCTCACCCGAGGGCCCCCCCTTGCATTTCCTGAGGAAACAGCGGAGCTGGGTGAGGGAATGTTGGGAAATAATAACTTTTTTTCCTAGCTGGAAAAAGACTTGCGTTTCCGCTTTGTGAGTGTAAAAGTTAGGTGTGTTGCGTTTCGTGCCTTCTCTTAATTGCGTTTCTTTCTGGAAAGTACTGAACGGTGAGGTTCTGCTTTTACCTGGGTCTTTCGAATTTCTTCGCATCCACAAAGGAGCTATCTCTTCCCATCAGTTTCTCCCTTTCTTTCAGTTCTGTAGCAACTTTTACAGCTGCAACCACTTAGACACCAGCGATACCAATCACACTAAGATTTTACAGGTTTCTAGTAATAACTGACAAAAAAAAAGGTAGCAACAACAGATTTCTCAGGTTGTCTTCTGGATGACTGCACTGAATATGGATGTTTTTTCCTATCTGAGATGGAATGTGAACGTTTTATAGGATAAGTACAGCTTTTCTGTATGGAAGTTCTTCATATATGTGCAAAGTCATTGCCACTAGTTGTCAGACCAGAATTTTGGGGGAGCCTGCTTTTGAGGAATTCTAGAGCTGCTTTTGAGGAATGTGCTTTTTAAGCTCATATATTTCTATTGGAAGTTTATCTAATTTTCAGCAGTTGTTTAAAGTTTGCATGTTAACTTGCAATTATTTTATAAAAGTTGACAAAAAAAATTAGAGCCCTTAATGGTTTGGGGGAGATTTTTTATGTTCCATAAGCACAAAATGAGTCCTTAGTCACTCCACTTTTTCCAGTATACTAGGATGCATGTACTTTGTAACACTGTATTTTATTGATATGTCATACCAGCTGTGGTGACTAGCACATTCTTCAGTCTTGTGTTCTAGCTTTCTAGGGAAAGAAATGGTTCTGTGCTAACTAATGAATGGTGTATTAGAAATTTAAAGTTCTGTCAGTTGTAACCTGTTTAACCTGTGAATGTTGCTTGTTTTCCCTTCTGCTCCTTGAAGTCGCTTAACTGGTGAGGAAGGCAGAGAATTCACTGCAGATGTCAGAAGACACTTTCCTCAACTTTGCAAAGTGTTTAAGGTATGCCTTTTCTACACTTCAGTCAACAAAGATAGGTTTAGACAGTCATGGTCAGCGGCTGTTGTAAGACATGAATTTAAGTTAATTTAATAAGAATTCAAGCTAGTGACATAGCAGTAATGGTTTGTTGGCAAAATATATCTTCTGTATGTTTAGAAATTGCTACATAAAAAATAAAATACAGGGTCTTTGTCAGTCCTTTTCATTGAACAGAAGTGTTGGTATTAAGACAACACCTCACAGCTACTTCTGTAAACTGAGAATTTAAGTATATTGTTTTGTTTGGTGTGTGTTTTTTTTTTTTTTTTTTCAGGTGCACATTTCTAGTCAAAACTCGGAGCTAAGTAATGCAGCACTACAGGCATTAGGATTCTGCGTTTTTAATTCAAGTATTACATCTCAGTTATCTGGTAAGCAAACAAACTTCAGCGTGGATGCTGGTTGTGTGTGTATGTGTGTGTATATATATATCAGAGTTCTTTCTTTAATTTAGACAAAGTTTATAGTTCCCAAGTGGTTCAGTGACTTTGTCTCTAGTATGAGCAGTGTGATCAGTTCACCAATTCCATCCTGTACAAAAAGAATTGGAAAGTTGTTTTTTCACGTTACTATGCTAATAATGTTTTACTAACTTCTAGTTTTGTTAAATGCTTTGGTGCTAGTTATGTACTGTAATTAGTTTTGTGAAACTAGTAATCAAAAAAGGTGTCCAGGTGGAAAAAGAATGAAGAATGCTTTTTTGTTTGTAGAATTTGGGTACATATAGTAGTGCTTCTTGGTATTTTCCTGCCTTTACCTAGTGATTCCTGGTTGTTACATTAAATCATTGAATGATTTGAGTTAGAAGGGAGCTATAAAGGTCATCCAGTCCAATCCCAAATATTGTGCTGGTAAATATTTAAAATTAAACTAATTTAAAGTAATCAAAAATTTTATTTTACGGCCTAAATTACTAGAAAGTGGTAAATCCCTTTAACAAAAGGTTTTGCTCTTGAGAACTTGAGGCAATAGATCAAGGTAAAAACACTGGATTTTGTTAATAGGGGAGACCTAATGTCCAAGCTGGCTGGTCCTGAGGAGGTACCCGTTACAGGTCCCAGGGCTCAGCATATCCAGTTGCAGTAATGTGGTGGGAAGCTGCTCGGTGTCAGCGGTGTGTGTGGGAGGAAGGTGGTTAAGGTGAGGTTGCTGTTCGTGGGCACAGAAGGGAGCAGATTGTGATTTGGCTGTTCTATGGTGCCTTGATGGTGCAAGAGTCTATAGTAACTCTTCAAATGGTAATAACAAGTGGGGTACTGTCAATTATTCTTTCTTCTGGGAAGTATTAAATACTCTTGAACAAATGTTCTGGAATGACCTTTATTAGAGAAGCTTAATCTCGAGCAAGACAGCAAAATCATGTGTGGATGTGCAGAGAGCATTCTTCCATGTGACTCTGCCATTCTGTTTACTGAAATTGTTTTGTTTAGTTCTTCTCAGTTTTCCCGTGTGTCCTGCTTTCCTATGATGCAGAACTTAGCCTGATTTCCTATGAGAATGAGGCATTTATAGTAATGTTTGTGGTCCCTTTCCCCCATAACTTGTTTTAACCACTTGATAAATTACAGTCAATTTTGTTAGGGAATGTCAGGCTTCAGAAATAATTAAGTCCTGAAAACAGCAGAGAGTTAGGGAGAGAGGACAAAAAGCATATGTACTTTTGATTGAGGAAACGACTGTAGTTGAGTTTGTTTCTCCGATAAGATCGTTTACCCGCAAAGACCAAATTTGGAAGAAATCAGACTTCGTTAGTTTGGAATTTTTAAAGGAATATGTGATTTCTCCATCTGTCTCCCTAGTTGCGTGTAAGTCCTAGGTTAGCCTTATTTTTTGAGTAATAAGCTTGCTGTTAGCTCAGTTACAGCTTACAGCCTTCTTTAATGATGAAATCTCCTGTAGACCCTACAACGAATTTCTGTGTGTTGTTATAGCAGTGAAATTGTCCAAAGTGCTGCTGAATTCACTTGAAATCCAGCAAGTTTTGTATAATGAAATACTTAATGTTTAGCTCTAGTGATTTTATGTAAAATTGCCTTCTAGTTTTATGGTTTTGTGGTTTCTTAGAAAGGTAATACAGATGTACTACATTAATAGTATCTGTATATTAATACTTTTTGAGATTTTTTGATAGTTTATTTTGAGAGAGATTTCCAAAAATTGACAAAAAGTAATGTTTAAGACATTAAATTGTGTCCATTGGGACATAGAGTTGGAATGGATCTTTAGTAATGTTAACTAAGCAGAATGACACGAAACTTGCTAAGAAGCTGCTTAGAACTGCATAAACAGAATTTGAGTGCTGTGCATTCTGCTTTCAGCAACTGAAATACAAGACTTGCTTTCAACGGTGAACAGTGTTGCTGTAAAAACTTCAGACAAAAACACTCGCACTCGGGCACTTTGGGTGATCTCCAAGCAGGCATTTCCTTCTGAAATTGTTAAAAAGGAGGTGAGTTTCTTCACTTCTTTTTTTGTGGCCTGATTTCCTAGGGAGATGAGGCTTGTACAATCTTACGATCATTCTCAGCTCAGTAGCTTTTGATCTGGAGGTTGGTTTCCATCAAATTTGACAGCCAAGTATAGGGCATAAGTTCCTGGAAAAACTGTAAGGGCAGCTACAGAGAGAAAAGAGCGAACGAATTATTGCTTCTCTTGAAGCTGCAATGTGAGCATTTCTGTTAGATGCTACTTCTGTTAGAAAGCAGCACAGGGGACAAATGTTGTGAATATTCCAGTTTGGTTAGAGCTTTAACCTTAAAACTAGACTGAGCATAATCCAAACACAGAGCACAGTCCTGGGAAACAAAATGTCATAATGCCAGCTCCTCATGGCAATATTTGTATTTAGGTGCTCACTCTGTTCTTCTCTTAATTCCTCAGGTGTCCAGTATTATTTCCACCCTGGAAACAATACTTACTAAAGGAGATGTACAGTCTATGGTGGTTGAATATGAGGCACTGAATGTTATTATACGGTATGTGAACTGCAATATTAAATTGTTAAAACAGATGCTTAGTTTTTTTGTGGAAGCTATTGAAGCAAAATCTTAGTGGCACTAATTATTTTAAAGAAAAATTTTTAGAATGCCCTTTGAATTCTTCAGTATGATCAAGACTGTTTTCCCACAATGTTTTCTATTGCAGGCAGTAGAACAGAGTGGAGTTGTGTGATGGGCTATCTCTGTTTCTGTCTCTTTGCCAGTGGTTCTGAACAGCTTCATTTGCAAAACATTCCCCTAACGATAAAATGACAATTGATTCTGACGCAGACAGTAGTCAGTATTCAGATAAACTTTCATTGCTTTCATTTTAATGGCTTATTAGGAATTATTTCCAGAGTCTCATGTGTGCTTCACAACTCAAGTTCTTGCATTCTAGCTTTTGTTTTCAGAACCTACCCAATTGAGACATTCTCAGCTATTAATATGAGTTTTTATTTTGAAATATCTCCATTGTGCTTTACAAATTTTACTGCAATGTTTCTCATAATGCTGCTGAGGGTACCATTTAATTTCAAAGGTGACCTTTTAGGACCAATACGAAGAATGCGTTGTTTTGGTCAGCGGTGCTGGAATAGTCAAATTTTATCTTTACTTAATTACTAATAATGAAATTAAATTAATACTATGTTGATCTTGTCGCTATTATCTAAGTATTATCTAAACTTTTTATATCTGGTGTGAACTGCAAGTCCATTTTAAAGTAAAATAGTTAATGCAGTAATTACTTTCTTTTATCTGCTCTAGAATACCTATTTGCTGTAGCAGAGAACTTGGATACTATTATTTGCTTAGTATTTAGCAACTTCTTGCATTTGTCTAATTGTATGCTAATTCATCTTTTGCAAATCTGAGACTCAGACGACTGTTTCTGGAAAATTACACATTTTATTAAATGGGGTTTTTTAGTTATTTTATATGTGTGTATATATAGAAAAAATAATTTTATATGCGTTTATTAAAAAGAATAGTTATCCTTAATAGCGACGGTTGTACCTTGAAATAATCTTTAAGCAGATACTCTGTCTCAGGCTGATTGACTGCAGTAGTAAGACAGTGCTCTTGTTCAGAAGGTAAGCTGCTGACAGATGTAATGGAAAACTATTCTCTTCAGCAGTGCATGTCCTCTGGCTTTCAGAAAATCATTTAAAAGGGAGCAGTTTCCCTTGGTACAGCATGAACCCTTCTTAAATTGTAGTGATGGGGATTTGGCTACCTGTGCCAAAGAGGACACTAGCAAAATTCCATGAGTTGCAGACCAGCTAGTTTGAATATATGCCATTTCTGAAAGTCTTGGCTCCTATGTGGGATAGTGTAAATATAGGGAATTGTTTGTCATACTGTGCCATTACGGAGGGATCAGATAAGAACACTTGTCTGGGCTAATCTGCATTGAGTCTGTGCAAACCTGTGCTGCTTCAGGGTGTTGTGGTTTAACCCTGTCTGGCAACTAAGCACCATGCAGCCTTAAACTCCATCCCCCCTGCCAGTGGGATATGGGAGAGAATGGGGATGGGGAAAGGTAAAACTTGGGCTGAGATAAAGACAGTTTAAGACAGAAAAGGAAGAAAATAATAATGGTAGCGATAATAAAATAATTAGAATATACAAAGCAAGTGAAACACAATGCGGTTGCTCATCACCTCCCGACTGATGCCCGGCCTGTTACTGAGCAGCAGCCCCAGGCCAGCTTCCCCCCAGTTTCTATACTGGGCACGATGCCCTGTGGTAGGCAATATCCCTTTGGCAGTCGGGGTCAGCTCTCCTGGCTGTGTCCCCCCTGCCCCAGGCTCCCCTGGCAGGGCATGAGAAGCTGAAAAGTCCTTGGCTTGGCATAAACACTACTCAGCAACAACTGAAAACATCGGTGTGTTATCAACATCGTTCTCATCCCAAATGCAAAACACAGCACTGTGCCAGCTACTGGAAGAAAATTAACTCTCTCCCAGCCAAAACCAGGACGTAGGGTTGGAGTTGTTTTTCAAAAGCAGGCATATATTGGTTTTGTCACACACGGCCTGTGGGAGCTGGTTTGGACTGCCAGGAATGCACGAGGCATGGTTACTCTGCAAACTTTGTGCTTGGTCACTGATAAGCAAGTGATGATATGTTTCTTTCAGGCTTTCAGTTCAGCTCGTTTTCCCGAGAAGTTGTGATAGGATGGAAGGAACACCTGCAGATGTCAGTCTGTTCTGCTTTTGGAGAGGTTTAACTGTTTTAAGTGAACTGTCAAAATACAATTGTTTAGGGGAAAAAAAAAAAAAAAAAAAACACAAAACATAATTTAGAATGGTTTCTGGTAAATCCTATGTTGAATTAGAGCAGTATGTTGGAGATTTGTAATATCTGTATTTGGTTTTTGGGTCTAGCTTAATGGAGCAAACTCCAGCACAGATGGGAGAAGAGGCTGTGAGGTGGGCAAAACTGATCATTCCCCTGGTCGCCCATTCGGCTCATAAGGTGCAGTTACGAGGTGCCACGGCTCTGGAGATGGGCATGCCACTGCTGCTGCAGAAACAGCCCGAGGTGGCGGCCGTCACTGAGCACCTAATGACCACAGTAAGTGGAAATGCTGGGCCTCTTTCCTAGAGGCAATAGGAGTAGTAATCGGGGTTGGTTGTGGGGGTTTTAAATTTTATTTACAGTCTAGATAGCAGTAAAAAGCTATTGTGCATTGACAGCAACTTCCTGATGACAGCGGTTTCAATGGAAAAATTAATGTAACAGCAACATAAGTGTAGGATCACCGTAAAAAAAAAAATTAAATTTTCTGACAAGAATCATTGATCAGGGAAATAACTTGCCTTTTTTAAATGATCTTGAAGCACCTGACTTGATAGCATTAACTCACATATCATAAAACTTATTGTCTCTTAAAAGAGAATTTGCTTACCAAATGTGGTTTAACACCAGTCTGCAACTAAGCACAGCATAGCTGCTGGCTCACTCCTCCCCACCCCCAATGAGATGGGGAGGAGAATTGGAAGGAAAAAAAAAAAAAGTAAAACTTGTGGGTTGAAATAAGAACAGTTTAATAATTTAAATAAGATATTATTATAATAATGATTGTAATGAAAAGGAAGATAACAAAAAGAGAGACATAAAACCCAGGAAAGACAAGTGGTGCACAGTGCAGTTGCTTGCCACCTGCTGACTGGTGCTCAGCCAGTCCCTGAGCAGTGATTGCCACTCCTGGCCAGCTCTCCTCAGTTTCTATACTGGGCATGATATCCTGTGGTACGGAGTAGCCCTTTGGCTAGCTCAGGTCAGCTCTCCTGGCCATGCTCTCTCCCTGTGCACTTCCTCACTGGCAGAGCCTGGGAAACTGAAAAGTCCTTGACTTAGGATAAAGGCTGCTTAGCAACAACTAAACTATCTGTGTGTTATCAGCATTGTTCTCATCCTAAATCCAAAACAAAGCGCCGTACCAGCTACTAGGAAGAAAATTAACTATCCCAACCAAAACCAGGACACTCTACTAGAATCAGTAGGACTTGATGTGGCAGTAACTCACATCATCTAGCTTAGCTTCCTACTTGAAACAGGACTAGCTTCCATGTTCAGGCCAGGGAGCCTCGTCCAGTTAAGCTCTGAATATGTTAAAGGGTGGAAGCGCTCCAGTCTGGGCAGCTTGTGCCAGTGCTTGATCACCCTCCACAGTAAAAATTGGATTTGCCTTGTTGAAACTTGTGTCTTGCCTCCAGTCCTTTCTTTCAGTACTTCTCTGAAGCATCTGGCTTACTCCTTATAATCCAGCTGTAAGTAGTGGAAGGCTGCAATTACATTCCCTCCCACCCCAAGCTAAAGAAGCTTAGCTCTTCTGTTACGAACTCTGTCCCCTGACCATCTTAGTGGTCACCCTCTGCTGCATTCACTCCAGTTAGCCAGTAGCTCTGGTACTTTGGTGCCAAGAGTTTGGTACGGTATTCCAGAGATGATCTGATGAGTACCAAGTAGAGGGGTTGGTTTTCTTGACTTATTTCTTGTGCTTTTGCTAGTGCAGTCCAGTATGCAAGAGCACATTCTGACTTAACATTAAAATTCTTGTCCCACGTCAATTTTTACTACAGAGTTGTTACATAGCCCGAGTCCCCAGTGGGTACCAGTACATGGGGTTTGTCTATCCCAGGTATAAGACTTTGCCTTTGAATTCTGTGAGATTTCTGTCAGTCCATTTTTCTAGCATGTGAAGATCCCTGTGAACGGTAGCCCTGTCCTCTAGTATATCAACCGGTGCTTTCCCCTCAGTCATGGATTGTTTTAAATCGCGTCAGCCCTTAATGGACACATCGATTTAGGTGTAAATAGCACACAACCTGGGCTCTGACCTGCTAACCACCAACCTCTGAGCCTGACAGCCCAACCACACACCCTGTAATCTGATGAGTTAATTTGTATCTCCCCAGCTGGACTGCAATGACACTGGAGGAAACTGTCAAAAGCCTTGCTAAAGTTGGAGTGGAGAACACCTGCTGCACTCCCTGCATCTGCAAAACCAGGCATTTCCTCATAGAAGTCAGTTGGATTGGAAAAGCAGGTTTTGCCCATGGTTAAGCTGCTAGCTGTTTGTAAGGACCTTCCTGCTATTCCCTGTGCCTAGAGCTGGCTTCTATGGGAATTTGCTCCACAATTTCTCCAGGCATGGCAGTGAGATTGGCTATTTTATAATTCCCCATATCCCCTCTTGCGTGGTGTTTTGGGGGAGGTTTTTTTTGGAAGCTTGTCTTGCCCTACCCGGTCACTGGGGATCTCTACTAGTTGCAGCGACCTCTCAAGAAAAAATGGTGTGGCCTCATTGTGTCATTGGCCCTCTCCTTCACTATTGTAAGTCAGGTTTACTTAAGAAGTCCCCAACTCAGTTCTTCTCTACCACGGGTAGTACCTATGTGCCCAGCGACAAAAGTGACAGGAGACAGATGTTGGAGGCCTCAGAGTAAAGATGGGGGCAAGAAAGGCGTTGAGTACCTCGGCATTTTCCATGGCCATTAAAAGATTCCCAACCCTATTCAGCAACAGCCCCCTTGGTATTTTTGATGTTCACATTCCTGTTCACTTCTGGAACTGTAGGCTTACTTATTTTGCCTTTTTCACTGCTGAAGTATGTTTACAAAAAAAATCCAAACAAACAAGGTGGTTTTTAGCATTGCAGTATGCTTTTACTTGAGAGTTGGAGAGACTATGAGTATGTAAGGAAATGGATTTTGAGTTGTTGGTTGCCACTATCGGATTAATTGAAACCAACCATAAACTTCAACGAAGAAGGTCAGCGGAGGGGTAGTAGTGTTTGACCAGTTTAGCAGCAAATGCTATGTGGTATAGAATTAAATCCTTGTGATCTAGAAAGCAGCACAGTTCCAGGTTGGCTGTCTCTCCAGACATTGGAATGGGTGTGTAGTTTTTAGAATACTTTGAATATATTTCTTGTAGAAATTGTGTTTCTTTTTCTGCCTGCAGAAATTAATTTCAGAACTTCAGAAATTGATTTCTACAAAAAATGAGACTTACGTGTTAAAATTATGGCCACTGTTTGTCAAATTACTTGGAAAGGTAAGCAGAAAAGCAGTAAGTTTTACAGTTGCAAATATTTAGAGAAGGAGTTTTTGACAAGATAAATATCTTTATTCTGACCTTCTTTATCTTCAGACTCTGCATCGTAGTGGCAGTTTTATCAACTCATTACTGCAATTGGAGGAACTTGGATTTCGTAGTGGCTCACCAGTGGTAAAGAAAATAGCCTTCATTGCATGGAAGAGTCTAATAGATAATTTTGCTCTGAATCCAGGTAGACTAAAAAAAGTTAACCTGAATTGTTTTTACTACTGTCACTTCATGTAACTGGAAGAAAATATTCTGTCTAATAGTGTTCAATGCCATGGTACATACCACTGGATATACACATAGGTATTATCTGTGGTATATACATCATGGTGTATATACATACATAGTGGTATATACTGTGTGCATATACATAAATGAAATTCAAGTTGTGGGGTTTTTTTCTTAAGGAAAAGTGACAGTAGTTCTATGTTGGTTTTTTTTCCTCCTAGGATAAATTAATAGCATAAACCTAGCCTTTGTTTTGTAATGCTTCAATTGATCCAAACATCACTGAAGTAGAGAATAAGACATTTGGTAGATCTTATTTTCAGCTGTGTGAATTAAGTGAAAACCACCAATGCTTCAGGAGTCCAGAGGTGTTAAAAAAAAGTTGCTTTGAATGTATAGCTGAGACCTGAAAGAGTCTTTTAAGTCTAGCCTGCGTCAAAACACACAATATTTTTTACCTTGATTGCCCTTCTTTTTACTGTGTGTCCTGAAGAGAAAGCTAAATGTGAACATTTCTTAGTTTAGCTGAGTTTAACTTAAGAAACAAATCAAAATGACAATTTCTCTGGTCCTTTGTTCTGATCACTGTTTCCCATAAATTAACAAAGGATTTGATTCTGTCAGAAGATAAAATCCATGGCACAATTGGTGTTCACTGCACTTGCTCCAGCAGGGCCAGTAAGGATTGCGCACTGCAAGAGCAGTCTGTCAGCAGTTCTGTGTGGATTGCAGGTGGATGGGTTCTGATGCCGCTGAGCTGGCCAGAAGTCTTTTTCTCTTTGAACGCTTGCATAGGCTTGAGCAGACTCCTGTCCATACATGCTATGCTATTTCTGCTTCAGTGGTAAATGATCCTTTGTGGCCTCAGAAATCTGTGTTTAAGATCATTCATTTTCATTCAGTGGTAATGCACCTGTGTGTTAAGTGTTTGGTTTTTATTTTACTCTCTCAAAGAAGACTCTCCAAGATAGCAAGCAAAAGTGAATTTCCTTCTGTTTGGTACTCAGTAGATTTCATTTCAGTCTTGGTATTGGAAAGAAATATTTGCCATTTCCAGGGTTGTCCTAGAAAACAATTAGAGCAGTAAAATAGTCTGAAAGGTCAGTGCTTTTACTATCTTTTAGGTTTGCAAATTGTCATTAGTTGACCCTTAAGCTAAAATAGGAACAAATAGGAAAAAACCTAATGGTTTAAAAATCTTCCTTTGTTGTTCTTTTGTGATTTCATTAATGTTGCTTAAAAATATGCTTTTTTTGGTCTTCAAGATATATTGTGCAGTGCTAAGAGGCTGAAACTGCTAATGCAGCCACTGAGCTCGATCCATGTGAGAACAGAGGCTTTGGCACTGACAAAACTGGAGGTCTGGTGGTATTTACTTGTGCGCCTGGGACCTCAGCTGCCTGCAAACTTTGAACAGGTAACACAACTGAAAATAGTCAGCATAATCACTCTAGCCTGTGTTGTGTGTGAAGCCAAGTCCCCTATTTGTTACTATAACTCATTCTGTAGCTGCTTTGTCCCTCTCTAGTGTTAAAATAAAACTGTGTTCAGTGTGTATGTTATATATAGCAGGAGTGCTTGGGACTATATGGTCAATCTTTTTAAAGTTCCAAAAGATTTGAGAGTGTAACTGCGTGTCGTGTGAGCATCTCAGTGAGATTCCTCTGTGAGTGCACAGCAGTAGTGAACATGGGTGTGTTATATAAGGACTGCTTTGTCCTTTCCCCATGCAAGTGTATGCTTTGGAAAGTCTGCCATAGGAAAACGTACCAAAAAGATCACAAAATATTTAGAAAGGTGCATGGAGAGAAAAATGAATCAGATGTGTTGTTACTACTCACATTATAACGGGAATGAACAGTAGGGTTCTGAATTTCATTAAGTTAAACTTCAGCTGGGAGTAAAGTAAAAGTCTGCCTTTTTAGATACAGTACAGATGGATCATTTGAACATGAGTTTTTGATCAATCTGACTATTTCTAATTCATATGTCAGTAGGCATATTTTATAGAGCATCTTGAGAACACTGTTACAGGTACCCAGAAACTGAAACACTGATGCTGTGAACAACAGTACAATCTATGTGGTATTTGAAACAAATGATTCTCTGTGGCTTATGGCTTGCATGTGTCATACCTGTTTTCACCGAGGTTCGATATCTTTGCAGGTTTGCGTACCATTAATCCAAAGTACTTTAAGTCTGGATTCTTCTGCTGCATTGCAAGGAACTCCCTCGCGTGTAGCAGCCAACCAAAGTTTAGCCTCTGCAACCCCTGCACAGAAGTCAGGTACCAAAGCACAAGCCTGCTTCCAACTATATTCTAGATGCAGAAAGTAATCTGTTCTATTTAACACATTTATGCTTTTTTCATTTGCAATGCATTATTATTGGGAACAGTAATTTTTCTTCATGTTCATTGGAGAACTCAAAGGTAGTGATTTACACTGGATAAAAATAGGTTGTTGTAGTCAGTATTTTAAGTTCACAAAATGGTGCTAATCAGGTTGCATTGAGGACCAGTTTTAATGTTGTGCTTTAACCCTGACTGTGGCAACTAAGCCCCACACCCCCAGCAGCATGGGGGAGAGAATCGGGGGGGAGGGGAAGTAAAACTCATGGGTTGAGATGAAGACAGTTTAATAGGACAGAAAAGGAAGAAAATAATAATGGTGGTAATAATAAAATAGTTATGCAAAACAAGTAACACACAATGCAGCTGCTCATCACCTCCCGACTGATGCCCGGCCTGTTACTGAGCAGCAGCCCCAGGCCAGCTTCCCCCTAGTTTCTATACTGGGCACGATGCCCTGTGGTAGGGAATATCCCTTTGGCAGTCGAGGTCAGCTCTCCTGGCTGTGTCCCCCCTGCCCCAGGCTCCCCTGGCAGGGCATGAGAAGCTGAAAAGTCCTTGGCTTGGCATAAACACTACTCAGCAACAACTGAAAACATCTGTGTGTTATCAACATTGTTCTCATCCCAAATGCAAAACACAGCACTGTGCCAGCTACTCGAAGAAAATGAACTCAATCCCAGCCAAAACCAGAACCGATGTCCTGAATTTTGCTCTCTTTTGCAAGGGAACTTTGGCTTGAAACTTAGTTTTTCATGTACTCCTATATATGCTATTTATACATGCCACTATCATTTCTACAGCACTTTTAGTTTTACCTGAATAGTAAGCCAGTGATAATAATACATTAATAATATTGGTACTTTAAATACATGTGAAATCACACCTACCTGAGCTTTACCACTGAATGCCTGAGATAAGGAACTGCCTGTTTCTCTTCCTCTGCATGGGAAGCCTGGCATTCACAGCTTGTGTAGTTCTAGGTTGCTGTAATTAGAAGCCTCAGATATGTTGTGGAACTGTCCTAGATCTGTAGATCTTCCTTTGTTCCCAACCTAGGAAAAAAAAAAGTTCATCTTAGTTCATTGAGATCATAACTGAGGTTGGTCAAACTGCTGCACACATGGGACCTCTTGGACTGGTGCAGGGTGTAGGAGTTTCTACTGGAAACTGGTAGCAGCGGAGTTACTATATAATTTGTGGGGAGTGTAGCCTGTAACCTCCTCCACAACCACAACTTCCCTCCAGACTTTTGTTGCCAGATGAAGTTTGGCGTCTGAGACTTAATAGTCTTTGGAAGATATTTAGACTTTCAGAATACATGGTTAGGACTGTGATGTTAAACCCTACTTAATAGGAGTGCGAGCCAGACTTCTGTCTGGCTGTCAGAGGTCCCTTTTAGCCAGCATTTTTCCATGATTTGTTCTTCCCATGTTAACTCTGGGATTTTGGTCTATTGTATCTTTCACTCGGTTGCAGGTGAAATATGAGGCAATGTTATTTTTCTCCCCTCACCTAGGTCCTTACCCCTTTGCCAGTCCAGTCACACCAAGGATGAACTTGAATTCTAGTACAGCAGGAATGGTGGTGATTCCTTCCATTCAGCTTTTGGGAATTGAAATGCTGCTTCACTTCTTGATGGGACCAGAAGTTTTAGATTTTGCTAAGCAAAACAAACTTGTACTTAGTTTAGGTGAGTGAGTTATTTTTTTTTTTTTTTTTAAGTACTTTCACATAATCTGAAACTGCAAATTTTCTTGGATTTAAAGATGTCCATTAGAATGAAGTGCTGTAAACATTTAAAACTGTTAGTTGTTGTCTTTAATATTAAAAGTTGGGTTTATGTTAAATGCTTTAGGTATACCTATATACTTGATTATTTTTAAGGCTTGTCTTACCAGTAAACTGCAAACTAACAGATTTATGGAACATGTTTTTTTATTCTAGAGCCTCTCCAGCACCCGCTGATCGGTAGCCCTTCTTTTTTTTGTAAGCATGCCAGCACGTTTATAAATGCAGTTCAGGATGGCTTTATTGCAATTGGAAAAGAAGTTTCTGGTAAGAATTTACTGGTGAAATTTGATTTCTTTTCTGGAAAATAAAGTGGGTAGGGGAAGCATAAGAAGAAATAACCACTTTATGTAATACTCCAGTGTTACATTAACTAGAACTGTTCTGGCCTGGTTTGAAAGCTGATGTCAATTTTGACTTACGTCAAAGTGCTGTTTAGCATAGTTTGGATTTTAACTGCAATCTTGTTAATGTTTTTATCACAAACTGAATGAAAGTATTACGCTGTCTTGTAGATTGTATGCTGAATGTTATATGGAAGGACATAAATGGATACGTAAAAACAGCTATTGAATCAGGTAAAAAGTATGATCTCTTTTTACTTGTCACTGCTAACCAGTTAGAGGTGTGTGTGGTTTGTTTTTTTTGTTGTTGTGTTGTGTTTTTTGTTTTTTTAAGGCTGGACCTTAAGTAGTGTTTGCTTCATTGCTGGCAAGGCTTGGGTTTAGGCATCAGCAGCAGTTACTTTTGGTAACTATTAAGGAAAGCCCAGTGGCATGTGACTGCAGGTGTATTGCATGTAGCAGTAAGAGAGACAGTAAAGCACTTTAACTGCTTTTCTCACTGAAGGAATATTTCCATTTCCAAAAAAAAAAAAAAAGGCAAATCTGTGAAATTGAGACACGCTAATTTGGGTAATACACTGAGTAAAGTCTTTGTTATGTGACTCTGGCTACCTTTTTTCTTAAATTTTATTTCATAGTGTTGTGTCATTACAGAAGAAGAGCAATACATTGTTTCGTATTTAAAAAATGCTCATTGCTCTGTAAAGACTTTGAAAGTCTAGAATATTCTTAATAAAAGCTTTTAATATAAAAGATCTAACTGAAAAGCATGAGAAATGAAATGCATTGCTTGGATGAATGCAAAATTTCACAATTTTTTTTGAATCAAAGGTTAATAATGATATGAAGGTGTTTCCACTTTACTAACAAAACTTAGGCGTTCTTCTGTTTAAACTTTGTTTCAGTTACCACATCTCTGCTCTGAAAAACAGTGTATCCAAATATTAAGTATTTGGTATATGCTTATAAGTATACACAGAATTTTTTTGGTATTGCAGTACTTAAAGTTTTAAATTATGGTCAGAGTGACCACTAGTTTGTTTTGCTCTAAGTGTAAATGTGCTTTATTCTAGGAAATAAAAAAGAAAAGCAAGGGTCGGAAATACTGACTATGCTGCTTCAGGCCTTAAAAAACACTGTTAGATCAAATTCCCTCCCTGTGCAGAAAATACTGGTAAGTTGGGTGGGGTTTGTCTTGTTTCTTACAATCTCATTTCTTTTTAATGGTCTAGATTTTGATTGGTAGGAGCTTTTTGCATTTAACTTAGCAGAATGGTCTCTTTAAGAGACACAACTTTTTGGTGTAAACTGTAAGTTATGCAGTTCTCATTAGATGGCATAGTGTTGCTTAAGGGTTTCTTTCTTTAAAAGTGTGTTTTGGATTTATCAGCAGTGTTCACAGAACTGGGTACATGGTTCTTCTAATAGAACCTTCTGCTTCAAAGCAGTTACTTTCATGATGGAATTTTTACTCAAGGGAAGCAATTGTTACAAATTTGCTTTTATTTGTGGTGTTACTTAAAATATTTGAGCCATCAGCAAAAAAATGCTTACATACATTTTCTTCTTTTCCCCTACTTAGTCCCTCATTGATATTACTGTTAAGGAATTACCTCCAAAAGTATTGGGGTCACCAGCTTATCAGATTGCTGATATGGATCTTTTAAATGTAAGTTTTACTTCATTCCAGAATTCCGTCATTATTTTATGCTGAAAGGTATTGGGATGTCATGTTTGCCCAAATGTATAGAGCACTCTTAAGTCAGGAGATCCAGATCTTTCAGGAAATCACAGTATTGTGTGTTCCAAAATGCAGACTGTTTCCAGCCCTCACTTCTGATCAGTAATTTAATTAACTAAAAAGGGATGTGCTGAAATTACTGTAATGATGAAAGGGCATTTCTCATCTTCAGATCATGATTTAAAATACAAGTTGCAGATAATTTGCGAGGAGACTGCATTAGTTACATACAGAAAACATGTTTTGGGGAAGTGTTCTGAAGTCAGTAGAGTGAAATAACTTAAAGAAAGGTAGAAAGTGTTACTCCTCAGGAAAAGTTAAATGTGCAGAAGCAAATCAGAGAATATCATGCTAGACAGCATTATTCCAGAAAGTTCAGAAGTCATAGTGAGCCTGAACTTCCTGGCCAAAGCCTACTGCAGAAAACGTGGTGACATTCATTAGGAGTGAGAAGTACTCTGTTCTGCTTTGGTCCTCATGGGCCCTGCGTGGAGTGCTGTTCTGTGTGCTGCATTGGAGGGGAGAAACAGATGATGGCAGTCCAGAAAATAACCAAAAAACACACAAAAAAAAAAAACACGCAAAAAAAAAAACCTGTGAGAAAAGGCTGAAACAGTGTTTCTATGTGGTTTTTTGGTTTGTGTTGTTTTTGGTTTTGGTTTTTTTTTTTTTTTTTTGTTTGGGGTGGAGCAGACTGAGTAGGAGCAGGCTACAAGTTAAATTTATTAAGTTTAAAAAGTTGAGATACTTTTTAGAATTGGGTGATGATCAGCTCTTCTACATCCCCCGGTTGGCTGGGGGCGACTAGTTTATTTTGCAGCAGTGGAGACAGGGTCTTCTAGCCTATGAAAGTAGCTAAATGTTTACCTTCTTAGTCAGGGAATGCATAGATTTAGTTTGGAGGCTTTTAAAAGCAGACAGGTATCTGTGAGAGAACGCCTAAGTGTAACAAGAGTGAGCAAATGCTTCAAGTCAAGTGAGCAGTATAAAACTTACCTACCAGAACTGGCTTAAGAGCTCAACTCTCAGAATTCCTCCCAGCTTTTTTTCACCCCTAGTGCTTTATTTACATTTGGAGGCTTTTCCTGACTTGGGTACAAGGGTCAGAACTTTATTAGGGTGGTTGAAGATTTAATTGGCGGCTATTAAATGCATTTTGCTAAATACTTTAACATTAGGAAACCTGAAATACTTGTGATAGATTTTTTTTGATAGAGGTGGTCCAAAAAGATGTCATGCTGAAACCTTGAAATGAGCAAATCTCAGGTTGCTCCATCTTGTTCCAGGTATCACAGTGCGCCTTGATTGCATTAGGTATACCTACCTTACTGTGATGCATGCAATTTCAAGGCAGTACTGAGTACTGTAAAACTCAACGTTTTAAACAGAGAATTTTTTTGCTTCAACTATGGCATAATTGGTATTCTGCTGAAGCACCAGGATCTAGCAGAAGCTTAGGTTTCCAGCTTTCCTTCTCATTTTTATTCTGAAGTCTTAGATTTTACAATTTTGGACAACTTAATAATTGCAAAATTCTGGTTTAGAGTTAAGTATAGCATAGAGATACACATGTGAGGCAACCATTTAATTTGATCAATGTATATGCTGTTTTGATCTCTTAAATTTCTCTTACAAGGGTACACCAGCTTTGTTCTTAATTCAGCTGCCTTTCCATAATGACCTCTTGGAATGCTGTGTAACGGATGAGAGGTAGGTGGTGGTGGTTTAGAACGAGCCTCCCGTAGGCAACTTCAGAGAAGTTTTTCCTAATTTCATCTGGAGAAGTATCTTACCTGTTTAACTTTCTTCCCTAGATTCTACGTAATTCTAGAAACACTTGTGAGTTATGTTTTGTCTGGGCCTACATCTCCACTGGCTTTCAGCGAATCTGTGATCTGCATTATTAATCAGAGTGCAAAGCAAGTGAAAAATAAGGAGCATCTTTGGAGAATGTGGAGTATTGTTGTTAATCCGCTAACCGAGTGGATTAATCGGGTATAGTGGCTTTTTGTTCTCTTCCCCAGCCCCACTCCCCAAAAAAAACACAGGAAAACTTTGTGCCGATCTCCTATTTTAATGTGTTTTTAGCAATTACATGGCTTGAAGTAATATTAAAATTAAATAAGCCTTGGTAGTATTTGTGAAACTGGAATTTGTGCAGCAGTTTTTTTAAAAAGTCCCTAGCTAGGGTGTGCACATGTGCAGTGAGGTAGGATGAAGGGCAGTAGTGGAGTGATCCAGAGCGTGGTTTAAAGTGATTCCAGTCAGTAAGAACGATCACTCCTTAGTTCAGTGTCCAGTACAGTATTGGGAATGTGGTTTTTCTCCTTTTTTAAGATTATAAACATGTTTATAGATGTGCTTCAACCCTTCACTCCTTCGCGTGATCTTGTTGCTACAAAGAATGCAGACTTGCCCTCCAGGACCTGTTCACATTTAAATACCAAGAGGCTTGTTTGCTTTCTGTGAAAATAAAATAATATCAAGTTGTGACGTTTAGGACGTAATTGGAACAGTGTTCCTTACTAATGAGTTAGACTTCTTAAATGGAAGCCCTAATGAAAGCCATATAAACAGTAATATTCCACAGGTTCTGCAGATTACTTACAACAAGTACATTGATTGTAACATTGTTGAGCTAATCCTCATGTAGTCATTGGACTTAAAATCTTAGAATTTATGAAGAAAGTTTTAGGTGCTTTAAGTAGGAAATAAGTAAAAAAAAATAACCAATATGTTTTCTAACAGATTGTTTTTGTTACTGGAATTAAGTTACTTTGGAATTTAGAAACAATGCTTGTTATCTCTTTAAATGATAGGATCAGTTTGAACTCTTGAAAGAACTGAGAATAGCTAATTGCAAAATGCCACTGGCAATTTAGCTTGCACAGATCTTGCGTAAACAGTAAACGTATTTAGAAACAGCCTTATTTGTCATCGAAATTTTGCAGCATAGTTAATCAGAAAATTGTTTTCTCACTGCAGACTAATGAAGTAAATCAGGGTGATGCACTGGAACACAACTTCAGTGCTGTTTATAGTGCATTGTTGCTACCAGTGTCGCACATCTTCCCCATTCAGGAATTTCCACAGGTAACAGTAAATGCATAATACTGATTAGAAACAATGTGGGGTTTATAAAAACTGTGAAGTGCTCTGGTAATCTAAGTAGAGTTTGGTACCAATATGTATATACATGGGACCACTGCTCCAGGGTTGGAATTGAGTTACATAGGTTGTGACAGAAGAAAAAAACTTAAAAGAAGTTTTTATCTCTATGCACAGACATTGATATTTATAAACTTTTTCTTTCTGTTGTTAAAGCCAACTATGAAATCCTTGTTGCGCACTTGGTCAGACCTGTATAGAGCATTTGCTCGCTGTGCTGCTTTAGTTGCAACAGCAGAAGAAAACCTATGCTGTGAAGAACTTTGTGCCAAAATAATATCTGGGCTAGAAGGTGAAACTCCAGTAGTGAGTATAAACCAGTGATATTGAACTATATAAGTACTTTAGCAGATATATTTTAAAGTAGATATAAGAACCTATTGTAAACTCTCATGTAGTACTTTCTCTAACATAGTGTTTTGGGTGAGACTTAAAGCCATAACAAAAATCTTGTAACCAACAGGAGTTGGAGTTGATCTAGAAATAGATTGAAAGAAGGGAGCAAAAATAATTATAAAGCTTAAATATTAAACTAGCAGTTAAGCAGTCTTTGGATTTGTCTTCTATTTAACTAGTAATGGTTTAGTGAATATCATCACAGTGAATATCCTTTGTCCAGGTGAAACGTGTGTGTAACTTCAGATTGAATTGAACAAATACCACAAAACCTGGCATTTTGTTTGGGAAGGAGGACAGAGTAGCACTGTAGCTTTCAGAGGGCATACCCGCTATATTCCTAGTACTGTCATCTTCGTACACTAAAATTTAAAGGCTCGTAAAGCTTTACAAAAGAGAAAGCTTTTGCAAGAGGAAGCCTTTACATTATCTCTCTTGTTTGTTATCTCACATCACATGGGGAGATAGTGTCAGCAGGTGTCCATGAACATTAGCTTTGGAACATAAAATCCTTCGTGCTCGAGTTGACCGTCTTTTGAAAAATTACCATGAAAGGAACAAATAAGAAATAGATGAGAAGGAAAAATGGAATTTGAAAACATGTCATTTGGAGGAATACATCGTCATAACTTCCTTTGGATGCTGCTGTATCCTGATGACAAGCTTCAATTTTCAAAAATTAGTAATTTTTGAGCAAGCCAAACTTAAACAATTCAGAAATTTCGAGCTTCAGTATGTGAGTTACTAAAACTAAACTGGGTTTTGCCCCACAGTATGAATGTTCCTTTGAAAAGCATGGGTTGTTTTTTATTTAGAAGAATTTGACGGATTGGAGAAAAAAAAGCTTGACCCATCTCTGTATGTACTAGAAACCTGTTGTGCTTCCTGAATATTAATGACACCTTACTGCTGTGCCTACAGCGGATTTTCTGAGAACTGGGCTTTGTGCAGTAACTGAACTTAAGCACACACTGACATTTGGTAACTTGTTTTGCTAGACAGCTAGTGCCTTGAACCTTCATACTTTTGATGCACCTTCTTAGATCTAACACCTTCTTACAGCTGCCTGTTACTGTTCTTGCTTCTTTAGATAGTATATATGCTTATCTCTTGTATGTATAGAATGGGAAGACTCAATTTTCAGCTTATGTCATTGTGTGTATTTTAAAATGGAATCTTACCTGAGTCTTACCTGACAATGCAGACAGATTTCATCCACTTTACATTTAAAAGCTGTTTGTATTGCTGTCCTGAATGGCCAACGTGTGGGGTTTTTTCTGTCACTGTTGCCCTTTTGAGCTTTGCTGATGATTTCTGTTTCCTCCTCAGGTATTTTCAATGATGGATGGTCTTACCCATATTCTGTCAGTTATGGTTGACTGCATCAACTTTGCACCGTATGGTACTAAATATCAGCCAAAACATAGATGTAAGAAAATACTTGAATATTGGGATTTTCTGTGTGTGTCTTCCAGAGCTGGTTGAAAATTAGAGTGGTTGTAGATGCAGAACTGATGACCGTAGGCTATCAATGGTCTGTATGTGCTACACATGCTATCTAAGCACCGAAGGGATTGGCCAAAAAAAAAAAAAAATCATAAAAATATCCAGCACGCATACTTGAGTATCAGATTTTTTGTATTTGTCAAGCGGTTGAGTAGTTACTGCACTGCCTGACAAAATGCATCTGAACTGGATGTAAGCGTTGAGGCTGCTTCACTTTTCAGTTCCCTGTAAAACACTGCTGGTGTCTGAAGCTGTATTTGATTTCTTGGCTGTGATTTCATTTTTGCATGTGAAATCTGCTTTTGCTTTGTTCAGACATAATCTGAAGCAGTAATGCTGGATCATAATTCAGTGTAAATGCATATCTGCCTAATGCTGATGATAAAATTTTGACAACGTCTGCAAGGCTACTGCTTCTGAAGCTGCTTTGCATAAAATGGTTGCCAATAGGTTTAACAGAAGACAAAAGTGGATAGTATGTGAAATGTCCTTGTTTTCCTACTCCTATTTACAACTACTACAGCTGAAGAAATAATTTATGAGATATTATAATTCAGTAAAAAACTTGAAGAATTTCTAATTTCTTTGCCACATAGGAATTTGTTAAAGTTGTAAGACATTGTGTTGGACTGTTGAAAGAATGAAATGCCTTAATTGGAAATGAGGGAGAACATGATCAAAACTTTAACTTATAAATAAGCTAATAATGCTAATCATTTTGATACTTCTCCTTCCCTCCTCCTCACCTGTTCCAGAATTTATGCATATCAGCTAGTATGTATAGAGTGGTTGCTGTCTCTTTGCAAATAGGCATTAAAGATACTTAAAAGCATAGTCATTTGCATGACCAACCACAAATATAAATTAAAGGAATAGGAATCGTATCTGTGGTGGTATGATACAATTATACATTGAAAAATATATCTTCTGTTAAGTCTGGGTTTAAACTAGTTGTGTGTAGATACAGTTTGGGAATCAAAGTTCTGTTTCTCATGTAGATAAAAGTTCAGATGTGTTTTGTTGTAACGCATGTTGGTTAAGAAAATACATTCTTTTGTTTTTTTAATGTTAGCTCCACAGACACCTACAGATTGGTCTAAGAAGAAAAAGGAACCCCTTGGAAAGCTTGCCCCTCTATTTAAACTCCTGGTGATGTTACTAAACTCTTTCCATGTGTTCAGTTCCAAAGAAATCTGTTCAGAAACATTGGTCTCTGTTGGTCCTTCAATTCTTGCTATTCTTCACAACATCATCAGCCACGTTTCATTGCCTTCAGTGATTGGGACTATGTTTGCAATTTTTTCAAAACCTCTGGCAGTGTTTTATGAAAAAACAAAGTGAGTATTTTAAGAACGGTTGGAAAAACTGGATTCATTGTATTGCTGCATATTGGTGAAAATTTTTGTGGTCTGTAGCAAGCGGTGTATTTAAATACAGCTCAGGTTTTTTTACTAGAGTTAGTAGGTGCTGTTTCTGTAGGGCACCCAAATACTGCAGAAAGAAAGGGGGGGTACAAGGTAGTCACGGAGAGCTTGCTGCTTTCCCCGCTTGCCAAGTGAAACCCGGGGTGCTGGGTCTGAGCGTGTGGCTCCCTGCTGCCCCCGAGCTGGGTTTTGGCATCACGCTTTGCTTCAGAGAGAAAACCAAACCCGCCTAGTCCTGCACGAGAGGAAACCGGTAGGACTCGTGAAAGCTTGGTATTTAAAGCTGTTGTCTCCTTAGGGCGGATGGATTGTCGTCTCTGCAAAACTGAAGTGTTTGGTTTCCACCTGCTGTGTATTTTTGCTGCAGTGAAGATATTTATTAACAGTAATTTTCTAGTGGGCAGGAACTGGGTAATGCTTTGTAGGAAATAGAGAAATCATAATTAGTGGAAGTGCACTGAAATCCTGGAAGTTCTTAAGCAGAGGGAAGTACTGAGAAATGCTTGTTTGTTGCTATGTGCCTTTTTTTTTTTTTTAATGTGGCTTTGTTTTTCTTATTTTTTAATTGTAGGCTTTTTTTTTCCCAGGGCAGGATGGAATTATTAGGGGCTTGGTGGGAGGGGCCTGGCAGAGGCTTGTCTCGGCTTTGTGGATGTGAGATGTGCGCTTTGCTTAGGATTAGGGAAAGAAACAAGAGTACAGCTTTGAGTGTTCTGGGAGGAGGGAGGATAGGATGGGATGGGATGCTGCTGGTCAGCCTGTGAATGTTCTCTTGAAGCTTTTACTGAAACTTGAAGCAGGACTGCTACCACTAATCCAAAACTCATCAGGAGTCCCTGTCTTGGAGGCAAGAATCCACTTGTTCCTGTGTAAGGTTGAGTTGAACGCCACCTCTCCATCTCCCATCTCATCTGCCTTTGTTTGAGCATTGTCTTTCTTAGAATTACCCATTAAAAGGGAGAAGTGAGTGTTGGCTATATAGTTTTGAAGGAAGGCATATCCAAGTGTCAGTTTGGGAACCTCTTCAGGCTGGAGGTCACAGGCTTATAAAGCGAATTACTAAATGCAGTTTCCTCACACTTTCAGGATGGTGTACGTAGGGATTTATCTACCTGAAATTACTCAGTTTCGGTGGTACTTCAGCTTTTTAATGCAGATATTTATGGGGCCTGGGAAATCTGTTTGAGGAGAGGGTTAAGAGCAACACAAAGAAGACAGAAGTTACTTCATAGGAAAACCTTTAAGTTTTTACTAATTACTACTGATCTTTTTATTAGTTTCTCTTAAAGTTAGCATGTAAATACCAGTGGGGGCTAAAGGATAGGCTTACTTGAAACTACGTCAGAAAACTTTTCTTACAGCCCAGTGGGAGGCTTGCTTCACAACACTTTCATCAGGTTGTATACTAGTGTGCAGTGCTTGAGTGCATTATGTGTTTAATTCTTATGCTTGGGATAAATGAGACAGCAAAATATAACTTTTTTGTTTGTTTTGGCAGGCTTGCTGGTGTATCTAAAGTATACAGTAATCTTAACAACAAGGTAAATTTGCTAGAGAAATCGCTGGGGTTTGGGAAAAGTGTCTGACACTGGTGTTTTGCCAGTTGTCCTGTATTCTAAAAAAAACAAAGAAGTAATGAAGGTAGAGATTTAATTTTTCAACAATTTATTTTCTACTAAAAAGGTACCTAATGGGAGGACCACAAAGTTTAGCCATTGGACTTTTCGTGTGGTGTGGCATTTAAACTTGTTTGTTCAGGCCATACTATTCTATGGGATAATAATGTTTTAAATACTAATTATTCAAACGTTTAACACATTATGTGCAGTACTTGAATTTAAATTTTTAAAAGTATTGTTTCTTCCCTCCCTCAGCTTGAAAAGCTACTGGCTGAGATTATCCTGTGTTTGCAGTCTCACTGCACTGGCTCTTACGACAGCGAGCTGCTGGAGCAGCTTTCCCCGTTGCTCTGTGTAGTGTTTCAGCATAAGGGCAAACAGATCCGCAACCAGTGTGCCCACTTCTGGAATGCAACGTTTGCAAAGACTGCGTCGTTGACGTATCCTGAAGAGTTAAAGTAAGACACACACCGTTTCTACATATTTTAAAAGGCAGAGATCTCAGGTTATGTACAAACGAATCGGTGTTTTTCTGATGACCATTTACATTCTGCTTTTTGCACAAGCTAGGATATCTGCTGGTTGTCTTGTGTCCCTTCCCCCCTCTTCCCAGCCCTCTGTAAATTTAAAATTCTTTTTTTGTTGATCAGATCTGTGTTAAGCCAAGCCAAAAAGAAGATGCCACTCTTGCTGCCTGGTTTTGAAAGCGTTGAGATAGCTGAAGACTATAGCGGCCCCTTCTCCGACATGGTAAATACTTTATACTTTGTTGACCCCAGCAGGTGCTTCATTGCGTATAACTGCATGGGAATTGTTCAGAAGGTAGCAGCAAGGTCCACTTTGATTTTTTTTTTGTTTTTTTTTTTTTTTTTTTTTTTTGTTGTTGTTGTTTTCTGTCATTGGCCTGCCCTCTCTCCAGGTTTGGAACGATAAACTGCTGCATAAGCACTCTCAAAAGACTGAGCTGGTTCTTAACACTTCGTGCATTTTAAATTTGGGGTTCTACTTGGTTGAAATAATTCATTTTTTAAGTTGTCCTCTGTAATTTAGAGGAAAATGGGAGTGTGGAACAGTTTATTTTTAGAAATTAATACATCTCAGGATGGGTTTGTGAGCTTGGGGTTTCTTTGCACAATGCATTCAGTGTATTTTTATTTGACTAGGTGGAAAATTCACAGCTGGATGCAAAGATAAGTGGAATGGATGTAAGGTTGGGTCAAAAAAGAGACTTTACATTGGCACAAGCAAGTGAACTAAAAAATGAAGTAAAAGAGAAGCCCAGTGATGTGCACATAACACCCGCAAAGGTAAGGTGTTCTGAGGGGTGCGGCAGAACCAGATCCGTGGGATTCTGCAGCAGAACACCCCACATGCTGCTCTAAACTCTCAGTAAAAACTAATGAATTCTGTGATGCTGAAATACTTTTTCTGTCAAAGTTACGCTGTATAGCACACTTTAATTAAATTTTGCTGTTAAAATTCTCTGCCAAGGTTACAGATTGCTGAGTTTTAAGGAGGGACCGTGGATGGATGGGAGGAGTGGCAACCAGGTAGAAAATTCACACCTTGGTCTGGTGGCCGGTTGTGACAGTCGGGTGTTGAGGTGGATCTTGGTTTTGGTAGGCCCGTGCCACATGCTCCAAATCTGTCACTTGCAGTAGGGAGAGAAGGGTGTTGTATTTGTAAGGAATTGCTGATTTGGTAAACAACAGTAACTAATAACCCTCCTGAGTATTGAGGTGCCTTCTCCTGTTACAGCCTTTGAGCTTCAGGATGCTGAAGGAGGTGCAGAAGGTGCTTCAGGGAGGAGGGGTGACAATCACTCCTAGGTGGTGGTGGTGGTGGTGAGACACAAAAAAATAAAACTCACTCCTGAAGAAAATTAGCAGCCAATGAGGGATTTGTGCTGATCAATATGCTGAAAGAACTGCAGTTGATAATTGGTCCATCCAGGACGACTGTACCTGGACAAAAATCACTTTGAATTCCTCAATTTTGTTTCTAATCCAGGATTTTTTTTCCTTTCTGTAGCTGAAACTAGAATTTTCATCTTCGAAGACTAAAAGTGAGGTACTTTTGGAAGAGGAGAAATCTGTTGATTTTGTGTTTATTCCTCCAGAAACAAAAACAAGAATATTGACAGAACATCAGAAAGAAGTGTTTAGGTCAAAGAGGTCCGTAATTTATTCCATTTTAAACTTAATGTGAAATGTCATTACATTGAGCATGTCAGATTGACAATTCCTGTATCTCAGCCTACTATGGGCAATTAAGGCTTACTCTGCCATACAAGTTATAAAGTTTAAAGCTAACAAAGTTCCTTCCTTTTCTGTTTTAAAGCAACCAAATTATTCTCTCATCTGCGTTTCCTATTTTGATTAAAATATTCTGTTATCTGTTTGGAGTTTACATTTTTACTTCACGACTCTACTTGCAATGTGAAATGGAAGATGTAATTTCTCTTAAATCATTGAAGTGGAAGGTGTTTTTTCACCTGATCTGAAGGAGAGACTTTTAAATTTGAAGAGAAATCATCTTTCAGCTTCGTATCAGAAATTAGGATATTCCTAAGACTTGCCTTAATTGCAAGGGGAACTTTTAGAATTATCTTCTTTTTAATGTGAGAAAGTAATACTAGAATATTTTCTATACTCGGGCAGCAAAACCACAGCGTAAGCAAAATTTCTGTGCAGTGATGTTTGACAGGAACTCAGCTGGATTATACAGTTAGCGTGTGCTGATGAATTCTTTGCAGAGTGGGATCCCGGTCACAGCTTTTTTTCCCCTCAAAGCATGTTTGCAATTAAAAATTTAATGCAACTGAAAATAGTTGCTTTGAAACAAGGAGATAAATGATGATTTGCATCCTCTTGGCAGTTTGCTCAGCCGGTTGGAGCCCGAGGCTGCAGCAGCCTGTTGCAATATTGTGCCTTTTCTGCCCCGAACGGGGAGTGCCGTGTGCGGCCGCGCGGTCTCCCTGGAGCTGATCTGCCTCACGTTTTGTGCAGCAAGTCCCTGCTTGGACAAGTAGTCGTGAGAGTCTGGAAGTTCAGTCCACTCCATACAAGTATCTGCTCTCGTGATTTAATGCATTACATTTCCCTAGCCTTTTTTTTTTTTTTTTTGGTAAAAAGTCTGACTCATCATTTCTGGTTTTGTTTCAGAGTTGGCATTCCTGCAATGTACAACAATTTGGACACATCGCAAGATACTCCCTTATTTTCTCAATATGCTCAAAGTCAGGAAGATTCTTTGTAAGTAAAGGTGGCCAGTATATACATTAGAGGTGTCCCCCTTTTCTGCAACACTTCTGATTTAAGTACCTTCTGTTTTAGGGAAAAGTCGTCTTCAATAGAAGATGCAAAAGAAGATACTAAAAACACACCTCAGGTAATTCTCATTGTCTAATGGTGATTAAGATACCACAATTATAACTGAAGCAGTGATGTTTTCTTTGTATTAGTAGCTCTGGTAATTAATGGCAAAACTCTTTGATTACTGGCTATGATAGAGTTTTAAGATTGATTTGGAAACTCTTCAGGCAAAAAAATGTCCCCCCATGCGTATTGGCTCACAGAAATAATTTCCTTTCTCTGTCTTGGTTAACCTGTGAGACTCTTGAATCTCCTTTTTCTTGGGCTTCCTCTATTTTTTCCACACCTGAACAATACTGACACAGGCTCCGTGACTATAGAATACACCAGTAGCTTTTCTTGGGGGGGGGTGGGGGTGGGGGGGGTGGTGTTTGTATTTCATTCTCATCACCAGACTTGAATTTAGTACCACCGCAGTGTTTGCTGTGTTCTGCATTGTATCATCTACTTGAGAAAGGGCCAGTCATTAAGCATTTGGACTTAATTTCTGAATGGGATCTTGGCTATGTTTCCACATTCTGAACTGCTTTTGGATGAAGCTGTAAGGGCTTGAGGGGGGGGAATAAATAGGAGATTTTTGAGTTTTAAAAAAAAAAAAAAAGTAAAAAAAAAAATTAAATCCTAAATATGGATCTATTCCTTTTGGAGAGGAGTTGGCTGGCTTTATCAGCTGTAGTACCAAACAGACAGTAGGTAAAGTACAGCAGATTTTTCATAAAAACTGTTTTAGTAATAGGTTTCTTAATATCTTCTGGCAAAACTTTTTTATTTAAGTTTGGGGATTAAATGGCCTTTTTTTAAAAAAAAAAAAAAAAAGGAAAAAAGAAAAAAAAAGTCTTTGATAGTTACTGAAGGACAGATAATAAAATAATTTGGAGGAAGGGTGGTTTGATAAACCATGTGGATGTGGTGTTTTCTATTCACCCAGAGCTGTGTGTTTATATTATATTAATAGCAAAACTACAATGCTTTGCTGATCATGTTTCTGGGACAGGAAGAAAATGCAGGGAGTGAAGGATGCACCAACAAATCAGATGAAATCACGGAGGACTGCAGATCAGATACCTCTCTTGAGAACGCTGCCTGTGTGAAAAAGTCTTCTGTTCCTCGCGTGGAGGAGAGCTCAACCTCAAACAGCGAGGGAGGATCGAGAAGGGATACAGCCGAAATGAATCCGGAGGAGCCGTCAGCTGGAGAGGGATTAGAACAAAGCATCGTGGAAACAGCTTCAAAGGGGTCTTTAGAGAACAAAACCGCTTCATATGTCAGCAATAGTTCAAGTGACATAATTTCTGGAACACCGCAGCCTGCAAGCCGACGGCAGTCTTTTATTACTTTGGAGAAATTTGATAGTTCAGGGAACAGACCCGTCAGCGTTTCAGCATTAAACAGCTCATCGGAGATGGCTGCAGGTGCTCCTGGGGCAGAGAAATGCAAGAATGCAAAGGTGGGCAGGACTAGTTCTAAGCCACAGAAGTCTGGAGAAGAAAATAAAAAGCCTTCCAAACCTGAGTCTGAACAGATCTTTACTGCAATACGAAGGCTAACTCGCAGGCAGAGTAAAATGGAGCACCAAGGAAATAATCAGTCCAAGTCGTTAACAAGGTCGGAACAAGAGAAGAGCACACAGGAGTCTCTTGCTTCCTACAGTATGGAAAATGTTTCTGAACTATGTTCTACAGTACAAGACGTGGGACACATCATCTTTGCTCAGTCCCAAGCTCTGCATTCTACAGAAACAGAAATTAAAAAAATTGAGGGTACGATAGCAGAAATAGAAGGGGTCCAGACACTGGACATGGATTCTAAAGAAAATACACCCCCGGAGACAACAGTGTCATCTGACCAGGTAACAGGAGATGACAGTCAGGTTCCACATGTGTCTTCTAACCAAAAAATACTAAGACGTTCTTCAAGACGACGATCAGAAACTGTAGAAGGTACAGCAGGTAGTCAAGATAAGGAAGATAGCCACCAGAAGCGAGACAGACGTAAAGACGATGAAAAATCTGGGCAAAAGAAGGTGCTGCAGACTAAAGATGATCTATCCCAAAAGCAGGAACCGGCTTCTGGAAAAACTGCAGAAAATACAAATAAAAAAGAAAGCAACCTACCCGAGAGCGCTGCTGCAGAGGACTTGAGCTCAAAGGAGTCTCCTGCTTCAAGGGGCCTTGATGAGGAAGTGAACAAAAGCGGGAGGAAGTCAGAAGATAGCTTGAAGGCTGACCCGGAAGGTCAAGACTCTAGCTCGAGTGCAGTAGGTCAGAAGATTGAACGCCCACGATACCAAACGAGAAGAGCTTTGCAAGGATTGCTGTCCAGCATAGAAAATTCAGAGGCTGATGGCTCTGAGACCAAGGAGCAAAGCACAAGGAAGAAAAAATCTGCAAAACCGAAAACCAGAAGCGATTCTCTTGAAGCTAAAGCGAAAGATCTCCAGGCAGGAAGCTGCAGCCAGGAGGTGTCTTCGCAAGGAAACGAAACAAAGAATCTGATGGAAACAAATCCAGGGGAACTGAGCTGTGAGGTCAGCGCAGATGCTGCCCTGGCATCTGAACCCTGTGGCCAGGCAATTCCCACAGATGCTAGCAAAGCTCTGGGGTCCGCCGGCTCAAAGAAGTCACCCGACGCACAGGACACAAATGCAGAACAAAACAAGAGCGATGCACCGACGGAATCCTTCACCAGCCCATGTGCGTCTGAAAATTCGAAAGCAGCAGAGGAAAATAAACACCTTGAAAAGCAATCACACCCAGCAAACCGTTGTTCAAATATCGTGCCTGAACGCGTCCCAGAAGCAAATGCTTCTGGTGGTGATCCTTCCTCTTTGCAAACACCTGAGTGTCAGCACAAAAGAAGCAAAAGGCTGAAAAGAGCAAGGATCTGTGATTGTTATTGCAGAGGTTCAAAGCTGCAAGTAACATCACTCACTGAGTCAAAAACTGAGAACACTCAAGAAGTGAACGAGCCCCAAACCACCTCAGTTCAGGTATCTGTGAATACATCCGAGGTGTCTGATAATTCAAATTTTGACGAGAGCTTGCCCGCGGCACCGTGTGCAATGAGCACGCCGTTGCACCCTCCTGAGGAACCCGATGCATTTAACTCGGAACGAGAGGGAAGACCTGAGGATAACCTGGAAGGCAGTAGTGTTGTAGTGGAGGAGGATCTAGAGAATCCGGAGCGTGTAGCAGGTGAAGTTACGGGCTGCGTAGCGGAAATAAAAGAGCCTGCTGATCCGAATGACGGAACGGAACAGCGTCTGTCTGAGTGTGTTCCAGATGAGGCTGGCGAGGGTGAGCTGGCTGAAGGGCAGCGGAGCGGAGAGCCAGCAGCTACAGGAGAGGAAGGAGTCAGTCAGAACGGGCAGCTGGAGGAGAACGCCGAGGCGCTGAGCGGTGGGAGCGAACCCCAGGAAAAGCAGATGGATGAGCTAGAAGGCAGTCAGGATGGTAAAGAAACAGCTGAGAACACTGTAGGAGAAACTTGCGTTATTCAGGATAAAGAGATGAAGGAGGAATCGGTGGAAAGTGAAACTAAAGGGCCTGAAAATGTGGCCTTGGACAAAGCAGATGCGGTAGAAAATAACAGTGTGGAATCGCCCCAGAAGCCGGAAGGTGGTGATGCTTTAGTGTTAGTTAATGAAAGCCCTAATGGCATGCAGGTACGCTGCACGTGGTCTCCTTCAGCTTCTCCATCCACCAGCATTTTAAAGAGAGGTGTAAAAAGAATGCAAGAGGATGATTCCCTGTCACCAGCTAATAAGGTATTGCGATGAGATTCATTCCGTGATACAATTCACTCAGTTCATAGCTGGGGTGTGTTCCACCACCTGTAGTGTACAGTCCCAAATATGTTGAATTGCCGACTGTGGTTTTCATTGTAAATGATCTTACGCTGAAACTGAAGGCTTACCGATTTCTTTTTGGACTGTGCAAACACTGACAGGTTTGCATTCTCGGGGCTTGGGGGTGGGAGGTTTCCTTTTGGCAACAGAGTGCCCGGGTGTGATCTGCAGCCCCGGGTTGCAGTGCAGCAGCCGTTCCTGCGGAGCCCCTGCCTACCTGCTCAGGGTCCTGCGCTGGATTTTGAGCGGCTTTTTAGAAAACGCATGCGGTGTTTCCTTTAGCAATGAGGAAGCCGCAGTTTCTGTCCTTGGGTGAAACGTCACCTGTGTCATTCAAGAGCTTTAATGGCTTTATTTCAAACGGAGCTGCGTTGTCTCCTCACTGACTTCACCAGGGGGGGTTGGTTTGAGTTCATGCTATAAAAACTACTTCTCTCTAAAAACAGATTCGTCGAGTCTCTTTTGCAAATCCAATTTATCAAGAAGGACTGGCGGATGACATAGATAGGAGAAGTCCTGTCATTAGATCCCATTCATCACCATCTTCCCGAAGTCTTAAAATTTTATCTAATATTCAGTCTAAGGTAAATTCTGTTACGTATATTCTCGATGTCGCAGGTACTCACGTTTCTCATTTGTCATAGGTACCATTGCTTTACTGTGTGTTCAGTCACTTGCAGGCAATTGTAGGAGAATCAGTAAATGTTAAGAAGTAGCTGTAACTGGTTTAGCCTGCCTCATTCTGGTACTCTTGGAAGACATGCGCTCTGAGATCTAAGTAGCTAGAGTTTTACAATGAACTGAATTCCTGTGATCCTGAGAGATATTTTTTTCCTCTCTTTCTATCCAGCATATTACCACTCCAACCAAAGGATTTCTGTCCCCAGGATCTCGTAACGCTAAATTTAAGAGCTCAAAGAAGTGTTTAGTAAGAAGTGCTTTGGTTCATGTATCTCTTCTATTTTTTTCCTGTATTCGTTTTTGTGATAGTGAATTTAATAATTTTTCTGTATCGTTCAAGATTACAGAAATGGCTAAGGAATTGCTGCCGTGCCCTGCAGAATGCGTGTACCCGGCCTTGGTCGGCTGCAAAGCACCGGTTGATGTCATTTTACCTCAGATTACATCAAACATATGGTAAGTGGATTGCTGCTTTTGAAGATGACATATTAATAGAAACTGAGCCTATGAAACCAACTTTTCTGATGCAAAATGTGACGACTTTAAGACATCTTTTGCCAGATAATTTTTTTTTTTTTTTAAAGGAAGGAGGTTGGTTTGGTGGGGGAGAGACTTTTAACTATTCTGGAATTGCTCAATTTTTTTTAGCAATTTTTTTTTGTAAGACTATGAAAAGCTTGCACCCAGGAACACAGGGACTTTCCATTTCATATGGCAGAGCAGACTGATATTAACGATCAGGGACGAAGCAGTTGGAGCTTTCTGTGTTTTGAAAGCAAAGTGAGATTTTGGGGGGGAAGAAAAAGATAAATCAATCTACATTTCAAATGTACAGAGGCCGGGTGCTCAGCTAGTTTGGTTTCCAGTCTGAATTTTGATAACTTGGCACGACAAACGGAGACGTGCAGTGGGAGCTGCTCAGAGCAGCCTTTTCTGCTGTAGTCTGCTCCTTTTCCTTCCACTCACGTTACTCACCAGTGAGCTTCAGAATGTCGTTCTCTGATGGATATAGGGCAAACTGTGAAAAGGTGTGCTGCTGCAGTCACAACGGCATCTGCATTTTGGTTTTCCCTTCACTTACGTGCGCGTGAATCAGTATTCATGTAAGATTGATTTCTGTTCCACCGTGCCAGGCAGAAAGGACACAAATTCTAGCCTAATAAATCCTTTTCCTTTCTCCCCTGCTGCAGCGCCAGGGGCTTGGGGCAGCTCATTCGAGCGAAGAACATCAAGACAGTGGGTGATCTCAGTACTTTGACAGCATCAGAAATCAAAACTCTTCCCATCCGCTCTCCGAAAGTTTCCAATGTTAAAAAAGCTCTTAAAGGATATCACGAGCATCAGGTAAAGTTTAATTTTTGTACCCAAAAAGTCACTATTAGCCTAATGAACTGCTGACATCCATCACGAGGAATAATGGGGTTTTCCCCCACATTAGAAATAGCACTTGAAAATGTAATCTCTGCCTGCCAAAGTCACGTGGGGATTCGAGGTACAGATGACTTGGTTACTATACTATTCATGGGAATAATGTTTTTGTTATCGTTGTTTCCCTCTGAAAATACATCTCTTGTTCTCTCCAAATAAATCTTCAGGTAAAATCTCGAGGATTTGAGGAAATAGCAGCGCTGGAAGATGCAGAAAAGTCTGTAAATAATATAGAGGAAAAACCTCTTGCTGTAGATGAAGAAAAACTTGCAACAGGTACCTGTGGCCAGCAGCTTGCTTAGGATTTGGATGTTTCTGCTGTGTTGCAGCTTTCCTTCTCTCTTAATAGGAACACTTGATTTTTTATTTTTTTTTTTTTATTAATGTGTTAGCAGCTAATATTAGCACATGAGGCAATGGGTGATTGTTAGCCATTTTACGAAGCCCTGTAGCAGTGGTGTGTTGTTTTTTTTTTTTTTTTTTTTAAATTTATTACCTCTTTGGAGGGAAGGGTGCTGGTTTTCCCAAAACGAGCTCACATAAGCATGCGAAGAACAAATCGGGCAGGGCTGTAAGAGCGGGATTTTCTGAATTTCAGCTGGGAGGGTGCCCCGGGTTGTTCCATGCCGCAGTAACTGCTGCCGTTCTGGGCACGCACAGAAGATGAAGCAGAGCTAGTTACGGGTGCCTCATCCCGAGGGGTGGGAGCGGAGGGGGCCCCGATTCCCTGCATTACCCATTTTGGATTTGGGTGCCTAGATTTTTATTTGAATCCTCCTGTGCCTTTGGGGAGTTTGGCCCAATAGCTCCAACGGGGATCCAGGGTGGTCCTTCCTCCACGGTACTTGAGGCATTTGGTTAACGGGAAAACAGGGAACTCGGGGAGTAAGTTCTCAGCTGTTCAGGTTAAAAGCTGGACTTTGGGATAACATGTCTCCAAGAACAGCGGCCGTATCGGAACGTGCCAGAATACCTCCACTGCTGTCCTTAGCTTCATTGTACAACGATGAAAAACGTGATGAAAGTCACCACAAAGAAGGGTCACGTGGAGTTTGGGGGCTGCCTTTGTCAGAAGCTCCCCTGTCGCGTGGCACAAATCCTTTGCAGACTGCTTGAATATGTTATTCTGTCCAAAAGAAGCTGTAGCGTTCCGCTACAACAGAATTCTGCTTAGATTTAATCCAGACCCAGGGACTGCACTGCCCTATTTTCCTTTCTTTTCAGATTTGACTGAACCAGTTGGCCTGAACACAAGCGACCAGCCCCCGGCAGATCTCCTGACTCAGATCGATGCGCTGGCTGCTCAGCTGACCTCTGAGGATCTTCATGGCTATTCGGGAAGCCAACTTTTTGAGATGCAGGAAAAACTTATCGGCATGACAAACTGTATCATGAAAAACCTGCAGTCCCGCTGGAAATCGCCACCCCATGAAAGTTCTGATTAGTTGCTTCTTATTTCAAAGTAAGGAGGATTTTGTTTGTTTCCCCAGAACCTGCTTTTCTTACTGGTGAATTATTCCTTAAACTGTGCATTTTTGTACTATAGAAGATTTTTAAACACCTATATGAACAAAATGTATTGTGGTTTGTTCTCTTTTTTTTTTTTTTTTTTTCCCTTGGGTTTTTTATTTTTTGTTCTAATTTGTGGGATTGCTTATTCCCTATTTAGAGGTATTTGTATTGTATTGCTATGCATATTTCTTTCAGGTAGTGAAAGAAAACTTGATAAAGTTGTGCAATAGCAAAGACTGTGAAACCAAACCAGCAGAGTAAATTATTTTTTCAAATCCGAAGTGTTCTTAGTGCTGCAAACTCTTTTATTACTTGGCGAGAGATTGGTCTAACAGCTCTGCTCATCTGCTGCCCCTGTTTGTTTCTTTTTAAGCTGCTGACACTGATGGACAGTGGCTTTTCAGCACTGTTTTATACTGAGATAAGCTGTGCTTAATTCCTTGCAGCAGCAACAGTCCAGGACCCTGGTATTTGACAAGTGGATGGCATCTATTTTTGCATGTATTTTTGTAAGAATCACACTAAGAAGCTGATACAGAAATGTACCCTGACAGGTGAAAGACTCTGCAAAACTTCTCAGGCTCTTTCCCACGTTCTTTGTTTGCAGCAGTTTCTCCTGGGGAGAAGATTTTTTTCCTTGGGGAAATGAATGGATTTGGCAAGAGCTCTTTGTATATTATGTACAGACTTATCATGGCAAATGTTGGTTAATAATTTATGATGGAGTTTTACTTGTATGGAATGTGCTGCTGCTTCTTAGAGACCTTCAGAGAGAAGACATGGGTTTTACTCTGAAAATCTAATCTGTATATATTGTACTGTAGTTATCAAAATGGACACTTACTGAAAAGAACTGCTGCAGATGGTTTTTAGAAGTTAAACAGGGGCAAATAAAACAGGAAATAGTTCCCAAACTTGTGAATGTTACGGTTTGGTGGTTGGCTTGTCTCATTTTTTTTTTTTTTTTTTTTTTTTTTTTTTCCCCTTCCCTCATCATTGTTTGGATTCACAAGGTTGGGAGGCACCTTGGAAGGTCATTGCTGGTGCCTTAAGGTAGGAGCAGGTCCTCGGGTAGTGCCTTGTCAGCAAAACTCTAAATAGTCTTTGCCCTGTTCATGCATCTCATGAGGGAAATGAACAGGACAGAGGGGTCCCGGAGCTGTAACGTGAACAGCCCCAGTGATGAGTTGGCTGTAGGTTTTCTTGCTTTCTTGAAAATGTTATTTTGGTTCCAGATCTGCCTCCTTGAGCTTGTTCAACTCCCGCATGCGGTGACCTGTACAGATAAGGATGTGTAAGGGATGTTAACACCTTTGTTTAACTACCACCCTTCAATGCTGAATCCCGCTTCCAGGAAGGACTTTTCCCTTTCAGGCTGGCTGTGAACACCGTGACGTGCTGCCAGCTCCCTTGGAACAAAAAGCCCTCAGCGTGCATGGTGCAACTCCTACTGTTAACTGGCTTTTAATGTTTTAGTCTAGCTTGGACACACTGTACAGCGATTTCTTCCTTCTTTCTTGGAGACTAGCTGGTACCAGATGCAGAAGCAGGTGATAACCCCTGTGTTCAGGTAGGAAATGATTTGTCCAGTTCACGCGCAGCCCCTCAGTGTTTGATTCCTGCTGTGGTTGGTGCGTCCTCCACCGCCTTCTGGGTTCTTTCCCTTTCTCAGTAGTTTTCTGAACAAAGCCAGTTTGTTGTGAATTTGATTCCTGCTCTTCAGCATGAGTGAAAACACCAAACATACTGCAGAACCATTAGCTTTATTTAGTCACTAATTTACAAGTAGTAACAGCTTTTGACCCCAGAACAGCTGCATGAAACACACCTGCGTAAGAGCTCAGCAAACAGGAGAGGCCTTTGGGTTTGGTGGGTTCCCTCCCTGCCCCAGCTAAATGTTGGTTTGAGACACTAAGCTTAAATGTTGCATATATGAATAGAAGTGAACACATTCAAACACTTTAGAATAGCCCAGAAAAATACTCCCTTTTAGGAGAGTATGAACGAAGTAATGCTGGGTAGTCTTGAGTAAATGTATAGAGTTCCAGACATCCTGAACTGGCTTGCAGTTCTAGCGTAATTAAATATCGTGATGGTGAAATCTTTAAAAGTCCAAAATACTTTTTTTTTTTTTTGACAGGGGAAGAAATCCAGTTCTCATGAGCAATGCCTACTAGTGTGTTTGCAGGTAGTTTTCAAAAAGGCTTTGAAAGGACGTCGCGAGAGTAGTTTGCTCTGCAGTTGTGACTTTTTGTTTCTCAGGTGGTGGGTCATCAGGCCCCATCGGGGTGGAGGGGGGGGGCGGGTGACAAACCCCTCTGGGCTGCGCAGCGGCGGCGCTTTAGGGGCAGGCGGGGTTTGGGTCAGACGGCTTCCACGTAGTTGGCTGGCAGCATGCCCGTCCTGCCGGTGCGCTGCACGGTGCCATACATCCAGCCCTCATCGATCGCCTGCACGTTCACAATCGTGTCACCATCTTTGAAGGAAACCTCATCGGCATCAGCTGCCATATAGTCGTACATGGCCCGGTAGGTCTTCTGTTAGTTTTAAGAAAGGAAAGGGGTACAAAAAACCAAACCAAAACAAACAAAAAAACCCCCCAAAAAAAAAAAAAACCAAACACAATTGCCATGTTTATACCCCTGCTGTCAGCTCTGATGGCTGTAGCTGCGGGAGGGGAATGAAACATAAGAGCAGGCTAAGGGCAAGTTACTCGTTCAATACTCTAAAAGTACTACTGAGGGAAGTATCCTGCTGGTCTTTCCAATCTCCCCGTTTCCGACCGCAGCATCTTCTGGATACTGAAGTGCCTCAGTTCCCCAGGCAGCACCTACCTTAGGCCAGAGCCTGGTTCCAGGGTGTATTTGAGCAGTATCAGGGGTACCCGTAAGGTGCTGCCTCCCCACAGGTGGGGGGAGGCCGTGTGGTACCTGCTGTCCTGTCTAAGCTAAGACTTGATCTTGGGAGTAGGAAGAAGCGTTGTAAGTTGTGCAGAAGAGGGGATTACCAGGGAGGGGAGGATGCACCAGCAGCTCCTGGAACCCCCCGGGGCTGCGGTTCAGGTTAAACTAACTCTGGCAGCAAGCCTGGGGTTGTGAGGCTTAAGCCAAGTAATGGATGGTACTTACACCAGCAGTGGAGGGGTGAGAAGGAACTGATGAGACCGTTGTTTGCTGGGTGGCAACCGATGATGACCGTTGCTGTGGTAACTCTATGGTTTTAGCGTGTTTGTAGCCCACTGCAAAAGGAAAATACATTTTGTCTTGTTTCTGACGGAACTTGCAATAGGGTTAGAGTTGCTCTGAATAATAAAGATCAGGGGATAGGTTATTAGGTGGGTCGACTCTGGCTTTGACCCACTGAAATACAGCTTTACAGCTGCTGGCTACGTCCGTAACTCAGCATTCTGCAGCTGTACTTGTGTGCTTTTTCCTGGCGAAAGGAATTGCTGAACCTGAGCCCCTGACCGGTACCGCCTACCAGCTGGTCCCGATACCATTTGTCTGCCCGTGCAAATAAATGGCATTTCTGTTCTCCTCGTACCTGTGGCAGTTGTGGCAAAGAAGCCCCCGTTGCTGTAGAAGGACAGGTGCTGGTCCGTGCCGTCCGAGGGTTCGGATTTCTCCTCGCCGCCGCTGAGGCTCAGGGCGCTGGCGGAGCGGGAGTGCTCCCGGCTGCGGCGCTGGGCTTGGACTGTGAGGGGAGAGCAGGGGGCACCAGCTCAGGCCTCGGTCTCGGAAGGAGATGCACACGTGAAAATGCACGTGTACGTACGTGTATGTTACACACACACCCCCATATAGGCTACTCTGCGTATATACACACACACGTGTGTTCACATGCTGCAAAAATCCCCAGCGCTCTCTACCGCCGTTACCAAACCCACAGAAGTTGTTCATCTTGGGCAGAAAAGTGACCTCAGCTACACGGCTGCTGTGCCGAATCGGTGGCTCCATTTTACAAAGTTTATGGAAGAAAGCATGTGAAATAATCGTAGTCTTACGGCTACTCCAGGGTCAGTGCTTTTTAAAAGTATTGTGTGGGCACCGTGCTCAAAAAGGCACGGTTACTATGACTCTGTGAGCTTTAATATTCTGACTTTTTTTTTTTCTTTCTCCAACCTCCTTCCCTTTACTGCTAGCTACTTCCAAAATTTTTATTCCAATCGTCCCATGCTTTCCTTCATCAGCGACACAGACCTCAGCCACGCCTATTCTATCATTCAGGAGGTATCTCTTCTCAAATGATTCGCAGGAAAGGAGTTTAAAAAAAAAGAAGGTAGGTGAGGAATAGTATTTTTAGAGTTATTTAAAAATGGAGCCGGTGTTACAGTTAACTGGATCATGGTATCCTCTTCAGGCCTGTGTTAGAGCACTTGTACGTAAGATTAACATTTTTTGAGAAATGGCTACAGTAAACATCTCGATGGAGCTAGCATGAATAGAGTTATGCTGGTGAGGAGGAGCCCTAGATAAATTTCTCCTCTAGTTACCATTAATTCTCACCAGGACCGTTGCTGTGCAATTTCTACACCCTGGGCTCTGGGCACCTCAGCCCCCACGGGCGGTCGTGCGCAGGGAGGGTGCTGAGCTGTGCTTCCCTGGCCCCACAGCAGCGTTACTGGCCGGCTTGGCACCACTATAAACCCTCTTTTGCACAAACAGTACAGACTGTGGCACAAACCGGAGATCATATGTAAGCTTCTGGACTGGATATTGTCTTCTGCTGGGTCGTAGTCGAAGACTGACCCGGCGTTGGTGCGCCACACCCGCAGACCTGTCAGAGAAACGGCATTTTCTGAGGAGGAGCTGTGCCTCAAGCGACTTTTAGAGTCTGAGCAGCACGTGGCTGGCCTGGAGAGGTGTAAAAGAGTACCAGAAGAGGGCAAGCAGCACTTCATAAATTTGTATTTCTCAAATCTAGAGCCCAGATTAGGCTTTTTTTTTTTTTTTTTTAATTTAACCAACATTGAGTGAGCTAAGGTTTTTTTCCAGTATCCGTGGAGATGAAGAAGTGAGAAATGGAAATGTAGCATTACATGAGAACGTGGGGTGGAATGGGACAGGCAGGCCACGGGTGAGCTACAGCTGCTCTACGAGACTATTTTCAAAACGGACTTTGATAAAACCCTCCTCTCCAAGTAATGATAAATTTGCATCGGTAGGGCTGCGCTTAAATAAAACAACTCGTCCAGGTCAGCTTGCGTTTTGTGTAAACGAAGTACTCGAGTGGCTACAGAACCTGGCTGCTGCTCACCTGTGAGCGTCTCCTGATCCTGGTCCACGCGCTTCCGCTCCATTTCTACCACTCGCCTCTGAATGCCCCTGTAGCTGATGTCGCTGAAGTCCTGCATGTTCTTCTTCACACGTTCTGTAATGGGGTCCGTAACTACAGGTGTGAAAGTACCTTTGCTTTTCTCAAAATCTTCGTGGTATTTCACCTGCGATTTAAAATGAAATGTCTGTGCTCTGTAGCTTAGATGAAGGATTTTTTTATTCCTGCTTACCTCGGGTGAATTTCTAGTAGAGGCGCTGCCGGGCTGAACTTTTGCTGTCTCCAAACCAAGGAACAATGCCAGCGCCTCGTCCCAAACATGCCCTTCCTGCAGTCCCTCTTGCCTTTAGCGTTTAAGAATTTGAGTAACCAACCCTGGTACGTGTGCATTGTCCTTGAGCTGCCAACCCCAGAATGTCTCTGGCACAAGGTTATGATTTGATTTAAATCACTCGCCAAGTTGAAAATACATCTATAAATGCTCTTACTGTAGAGATGTGTTTCTGGGTCTCTCGTACACGCCGCATTTCAGGTGTATCCAGGACATACGCAGCTTTGCCTTGTACTTGTTTTCGGAAACTATCCGAATAAAGAACCTGCCAGAGGAGAAAAAGGAAGTGAGCACAGGGCACCAAAACTACTTCTGCAGCCTG